AGCCCCACATAACACCAGCTGTGCAGACCAATGAAATCATTTCTCTATATGCGACGGATTTTTATAATGACCGGTGGCTGAACACACAGCCACCTTTCGCTGCCATGTAAAGAAGAATCTTTGTTGGCGTCCGGGAGGGGGCGGTTCGGTGGGCGGTTCGGTGGGCGGTTCGGTGGGCGGTTCGGTGGACGGTTCGGTGGGCGGTTCGGTGGACGGTTCGGTGGACGGTTCGGTGGACGATGGAGAAGTGCTGGTTTCAGCAGTTCAAAGACACATTCTCTAAATGGATCTCATCTCTAGTTTGCAGCTGACATAAAGTGAGGTAGTCTGTTCAAAAATGTCTGAATGAGCTCAGTGTTGTAAGGACTTATGTTGGGATAACTATGGAAGACACCATATTGTGATATGGATGCACAATGGGTGATGTTACCACAGTTGCTGCCCTTGTGTGTCGGCAACAATAATATTTCTTCCTCTTCTTCTCACTATCTATGTTTGCATCCAATTGTCATGCAAATTTTGAGAGAGCTTTTTAAAACATCTCAAAAATGTAAAAGCGAATTAGGCACATTTCCATCTACTGGTTTGGACAGAATCAAGGCTACACAAAGCGTGACATCATCAGATGTTGGTGCAATTGGCTGTAATGAAGAGAAATGTGGAAATGGAAAACAAGCACAGACAACATATTTCAGGAAAATGGAGAGTTCTTTAGGAATGTGTTGCTGTTGGGTAAGTTGTGACTGTCTGTCATGTCTGCTGGTATTGGCGACGCCACAGTATATGATGTCAGGGGACAAAGAAACAGAAATCCAATTTCAATGCATGCAGTTTGTAGAAAAACAGCCGTTCAGTCGTGTGAGGTACCTTTGGTCTAACTTGGGGGTTATGTCCATTTTTATTGAAGACAGGTGACCTGTTGACCTTTTATAGTGTCAGTCTGATTGACGTGTCGCTTATTACACACACCTGTGCGTGCACCTACCTACGTTCTACATTTCAGAACATGTTCATTTGAAAGTTCATAACAGTTCAATTGCTATTGCAAGGAAGGAACATTTTGATTGCTTTCAGTGTCAAAGGTTTTAAGGTGTGTTCAGTGATTGTCAAAACGTGTGAATGTGCTTTTCCTTCTCCATGACTGCCGCTTTTGTGAATTATAGGACAGTTTTTGTTTTACTCTGTCTGCAATAGCAAAAAAAAAAACTATTTTGTGCACAAAATATTTCTCCCATAATTTTGATCATGTTTTCTTTGGAAATTGTGAGACATGTCTGTCTTTATTTTATTCCTCTGGGGTTTTTGCTGTGGAACTCTCAAACGTATCTTTAGCCTCAACTGTGACCTTATGCAAGTGAGGCCTCATGTTTTTCTAGGCTGTGTTGTGAGCTGTTGGGTGAGTTGTTGATGCTCATTTGGAGGAATTTTATGTGATAGGCTGGATGCCTTTTCCAGGCTGATGGACCCTGAGTGTGCTGCATTTTGAGTGTATGTGTGTGTATGTGTGATTTTGTCACACTATTTAACTTTGACAAAACAATGCTGAAGAATTCATTAGAGAGGACAATTACTTTTCTCACAGCACTGTAAAGGATGGATTCTTTTTACTTTGTATGTCACAAAACTTTGAAATGAAAAGAAAGTCTGCTTATTTTTGCCATATATTGTAAAACACATGGACTGTAGGATTGATGTGTTAATGTTAAAAAAGTAATTTTTTAAAGTACGGTGTATAACTAACACTGTTGTGTGGAAGACGAAAGTTACAATTTCTCTGTCTGTCCCTCCGTCCGTCCGTCTGCCTGTCGTACTTTGTTTGCACACACAACAGGTGAGAGAAAATTGCTGCTGCTGTTCAACTGTTGGCATCTTGTCATTTCATTCTAAGATATTTCCTTTGGCTTCTTTCTTAAGAAATGATCAAGATGTTTTTTGGAAAAAAAGTCACAGTGATGCAATCTCTTCACTTCAATGAAGTTTTATGACAAACTGTTCTTAAAGGGAGAACTGGAGGAAAAACAGATACTCCTTGATAAACAGCAAATAAGTTTTATGAATGCTTTGCAACTGAGCAGCAGAAAACATCTTCTCAGAGAAAACCGTGCCGCCTCAAGGTCAGAGTGTTTTTTATTTTTCCTTACTTATTTTTTTTGGTCATTCTCTGAATTGTTGTTAAATAAAATTGCTTCATTTGAAGAAAACATTAATAAACCTGACAGGAAGGGAATGTTTTCAACATACCAGTTTAAAGCACATGAGCAGGAAAAGTTTCATAGAGTAAAACTGAAGGCTGGCATCAGTAAAACTGAAGGCTGGCATCAGGAAGGAGGGCTGGTGTGTGAAGGCTTCAAATACACATCCTGAGTGTTGTAACAGAAAATTACTATATCATGTGAGGGCAACTGAAACCCAGCACTGGCTGCTTCCTGTAGGAATATTAGATCTATAAATGTTTCTTCAGCAAAACACTGAAACAAAAATCTGTCATCCCTATTACATTTTGTTTCTTAAATACAGAGTTGCAGAGCTTTAAAGCTAAAAAGAATTTTTACTTTATCAAAATATTTCTAGTCACAAAGAAACAAAGTATTATGGTTACCTCTATGTGTGACAGGTGTCACTGTCTTCAAATCAGACCTTCTTAATGCTGATTAGGGCTGCTGAAGCCTGTCCAACCGTCAACCTGGACAGACATTCACTTCTTAACGGACACTCAGGTTAAGTGTTACCATTTCACTGAAGGTCTGTGTGTCGGTCTGTGTGTTTACATCGTGGGAACTTGGCTCCACACAGAAAGACCCCAGGCGAAATTTAAACTATCTTCATTTTTCTGACCTTCTTTCTCAGAGTCAACTACTGCAGTAATCCTGAAAGCCTTCAGTCATAATCACTAGTTTTCAAAACTGGAATTTGGGAAGACAAGCCTAGATGGTTGAGATAATAAAAGGATCCCATGAATAATGCAACAACAACAAAACAATTGTAAAAAGAGCTATTTTAACTCAAACTGAGGGTTTTGTGAAAACAGAGAATAACTGAAGTCAGGTGCATGGTGGTGCAGTCTTACAAATATTTCTAAAGGTAATGATTATTTTCAGAATATCAATATATTATAGTGTAAATGAACAGTTAATTTATCTCAGTCATCAATTCAAAGAGTGAAACTCAGATATATTTGCACAAGCAGTGAGGTTATTTGGGTTTGTTCATGTTTTTGTTTGTTAAAAGGCTTCTTGACAATAAATCTTACATCACAGTGAACTTTATTTCATTTTGAAGGGTGTTAACATTTGTAAGGAAAATGAATTTGAGGGTTGAGCATCAACTGTCAGGCCTTGAAATATTGGAGCCAATATTTCATGGACTGAGTCAATAAAATTCTTGCCAAATCTTCCCCTAATGTTGCCAGACATCCTGCGATGAGGCACTGATGGCATGAAGCAAACGAGGCAGGATTTTGATATGGACTGACATAAAACCATTGTCTTATTTTTCAGACACATCATCCAATCTGAAATAAACCAGTTACAAATGTACATACTCTGAGTTACTTTGATTGTGATGATTTTGATGATTATTATTGTGAATGAAAACTCAAAAGTTGCAAAACTGAGAGAAAACGTTTCTAATCCAGAAATCTTACATTACAATGGACAAAATCACAGGAAACCTGTTGATTTGACAATTTCATCATTGTAGCGTCCAAAAGTCAGACAAGCCATAACATGTAATTGTTAAAGGCACTGTCTGATTAAATATTATTGGATGGTTGAGTAGAAGAAAACAGTGTGGTGGAAAAAGCTTGTGAAACTACAAACATAACTGCCGTCATTGAGGGAACTGAGAAGCGGAGTGCAGAGCTGCAGTTCCAGTCACCAGGCAGAGGCTTGCAGGACACGGGGCCCTGACTGCTGCTCAACAACTGGCAACTTCAAAAGCATGTTTTGCATTTCATTTGGAAATTGCAGATGAAGAGTTGAGAGGCAAAGAATACCAGCCCACATTGACAAAAGTACCGAGTGAAGTACAGAGATCAGCTGAATGGAGTCATTAAAGCTCTACAGGCTCTGAGCAGAGCTGAGGCCAAACATCCTACACATCTGAAGGGCCATATTTCTCTTTGAACTTTCTAAATTCATTTTAGATAATATACTTTTCTTCAAAGCATTTTTTATTAGCTAGGTAATCATCCAGATGAACATATCACGTTGTGATATGTGTAACCAATAAATCAAAGAATCGCACAATAAATTAAAATAAACTCGATGATTATCATTTGCGTGATTTATCATTTTTCCATGTTGTATATATTTTTGTTGTTGTTGGGGGTTTTTTTACACAATCTGGGTTGTAAAAGTCTTCAGTCTGGTGCTTTGGTCTCAACTAGCCCTCTGTTTGAAGAACAATTTTGTTTACAGAGACTTCATAATTCACTTTATTTGTTGTTGTATTGTTGTTTTATTTTGTTTCAATTTAAATAGATAAATGTAACAGTTTGACAATTTAAATTGTCAAATGTTCATTAACATTCTAAGTTTACTGATCAGAATGTGTTCTTGCTTTACTTATTCATTTATCAATTCATTTATTACTTGAAAATGGTTTTGAAACACTAATATTATTGTTTGTCGCCCAGCAAAATTTGCTATGGTGGCTGGCTTATCTGTCAATGAACGTGTACAAGTTTTAGCTGTTGGAGTGAGTGAATGAAATCTATCATAATGTGCTGAACTGCTGTGATGCCATATAACCATCATCACACGCTGACAGAGACTTTTTCTTTTCCGGTCACTTGGAAGTAACAGCCGTGAACATACGCTAGAGAAGTTGTGAAAAAAACCCAGCTGTTTGTTGGAGCTTTGAAGCGACTGCAGTTCTTGCAGAGGAAGCGTCTGGCTGCTGCTCGCTTCGCTCCCCGCTGACAGAAAGCTGGCTAAAAATTCCTCGCAGTGGCTGCGCGTCGCATTCAACACACTCAGGGAAGGGAAGGGAGTTCTTCTTCCTCTCTGTCGCTCTCTCTCTCTCTTCCCCTTTCTCTCCTCACTCTGTCTCACACAGCTCAGCATCGCCACTGACACGACTCATAAATCCACCCGTTTTATGCTCCTCAGTCCTTCAGAGCCACTTGGAGGGAGGATTTGTGTAACAGCTCCAGTTAGAGGTGAGTCATCCTTTATGTCTGTCTCCTTATTTATGAAATTCTACTACTACTCCCATCACATCTGCTATATGAAATGTACTTTTCCTTTTAAACTGTCACAAAGAAATGCAGGTAAGAGGCAGACACCTGCACATAAACACATATATTTATTAGGAATAATAATAATAATTGCTATTGTTATTTATTATCGTCTCTGCGCATTTTAGATTTTTTTTTCCCACTTTCTGGATCCAGGACAGAAAGTGGGATTTGCTAAACTTTATTTAGCAGTTCATTTTTTTAATTTTATTTCTTTTTTTACATTTAGAAATTTAAAAAGCTGAAAGAACCTATTTTCTGGACTCTACATTGAGCAGAGTCAGCACCTCTGCACAAGTTGCGGAGACTCATTCATAAAGAGCTTCTAATTTCAATCATGCCCAAAATGATCTCAGCTTCCCAACTTAGTGACTTGACTCCCCAGTATGTGCAGTTTGTTTATGGCTGTGTGGGAAATCACTTCACATGCACTTATCCTGTATGTGCTGAGGGTTTGTCGCTAAACGTTACAGATGATGAGGCGATGAGATGCAGCTGCTCTGCTACATCCTGTGGATCCAGAGACGCAGCAGAGCCTATCAGTCAGATCTGCTGCAGTTCAAGTTCCTATAGATAACGTCAGAGTTGCTTGTGTCTCGAGCAGCGTGTTGCCAAGAAAAGTACACGCATGTCCTCACAGCTGGTGGCGTTTATTTGGAAGTGCAAAATCCAAAAACTCGGGTAAGAATTGTTGAGGACAGGAAGTGAAAAAGGGTAGGCAATTAGCACCATCAAGATCTCACAAATTCAATTCCGTTGTGCAGAATCTCTCTCGTCTCGTTTTGGATTTAAAACTGTGAAGAAAACATCATCTTTTTGTAAAGGATCGGGCTAAATGGGAGCAGCCGCAGCGTGGCGGCCAGCTCCCTCAGGGTTTTAAATGTGGCTCCTGACAAACACGTCCACCGCTCACCTCTCACACCAAAACCATGTCCGTCTTTTATCTCCATTGTCTGCTTTACATTATGACGGACGGGCTCATCTCTGCTGAATGCTTGTTGGGTGAATGATCTGCAGAGGGATTGTTGTTCTATTAAAACTCTACAGTGATTCAACAGAGAGAAGTGGTTTTAAAAGGACAGCTGAAGGAAAGCAGCTCTCAGCAGGAACCAAGAATCAAAGATCTATTTTAAAGAGGTTTTTCTAGCACTAGCACCCTTTATTTGCAGTAGATTAGACAGGAAATAGGCAGAGAGTGAAGGGTTAGGAATCAAACCACCAGAAGCTGTGTCGAAGACTAATATCCTCTGTAGGTAGCGGCCACTCTGCCTCTACTCCATCCACCAGCCCAAACCAAACAGCTTCACACCTCAGCCAAAAACACTGGTATTTTTCTGTACCTCATTGTTTCGATCAGCATCTGCAATGACACAGGATTTTTTTCCCTCCAGTGCTGTACTGGTGGCTGCTTGATCTCTGGCCACCGCAGTTCAAGCGATTAGCTTTATTGACATGGACATGCCATGTCAATGACGCCTCATCCCTCCTGAATTGCTGTTTCAATATTTCACCTTGATGCATCCCGGCATTGTCATCTCAGGTCATCCCCGTGTCTTCAGGGTACAATCAATCCATTGATAGAATGATCTGATCATTCAGTGTCTCCAGCCAGTCTCCTGACCTCATAACGTTGGTGAACTTTGACCTGAACTGCAGCAGCCCCACATCACAGCGCTGCGACCGCAGGTGTTACACCGCAGAAGGTCTTCCTCTCCACTCACCCTGATGTTCCCATCACTCTGGAAGAGGATAAATCTGGACTCATCAGACCACATGACCTCCTCCCATCGCTCTAGGGTCTACTTGTTATGCTTCCTTCCAAACTGAAGCCTTTTCTCCGGTTAGCCTCACTGCTCAGTAGTTTGTTTGTGGATACACAGCTGTTCAGTCCCATCCACTGAGGTCCCTTCACACTGTGCATGTGGAAATACTCTTACTTTCACTGGTTACCGCCCTGAGAGCTACTGTTGTTGTTCTGTGATTTGATGTCATCAAACATTTAAGTTATCACTAATCATTCTGGGTGTTATTTTTACCAACTACATTTCTCCCTCAAGGATGATTGTTTCCCATTTTCTTGAGTAATACATTGACCGTTCTCAACCTAATTTTACTTGAGAAGCTACTCAATGGCATTAGCATAACTGCTAGCTGGAAGATATTTGCCCAGGTAGTAATTTTCCAATAGGAGGCTCATATTTGTTTGCTTAGTTCAATTTAGTTCAACTTTTTGTTTTCTGAAACATCATTGGGGTTGTTGTCACAGTTGACAAGCACAACAGAGAAGAAATCACCTTCCCAGTTTTTCTCTGCACGTCTTTCTAATAATCTGTTATTGTCATTATGGCATAGTGATACTAGATGTCCTACAAAAACAAATAGAAGACTAAAAACTAAGTCTGTAACTTAAAAGGCGAATCAAAGGAAACATCTTAATTGGTTGATGTTTTAACTGACAGTTGCATGCTTTGGCAATCATCAGCTGCATGCAGACGACTGCTTTAGGTTTCTAAGATTCTTGCTTTACTTGCTCATAAATGTAAAATACGTATTGATAACGAAAGCATCACAGAGCAGAAGCAGCTAAATCAACAGTCCAGTTTATTTATCTGTCTTAACATCAGAGCGGACAAATCTGAGCCTGTTCACATGCAGTGGCATCTTTTGATGTGTTATATGCCTCATCAGGGTGACATTCCTTCAAAGATGGAGCAAACGCTCTAAAAAGAGTGTCTATTACATATCTGCATGTGGAGGCAATTCTGCTGCCACTGGAGACGACTGATGTTAAGAGCTGAGCTGATCTGCAACAAACAGATTATTTTAGGCACAGTTTGACTCTTATAAAACCTTTTTCTATGTGTGAATGCACAAGGCATGTAGATTGAGAAAAGGATAATATGTATAGCAGGATCTCAGAACAGAATTCATTCTTTTCTTTGATGAGCTGAACTTTTGTTCCATGTATAAATACAGTAAATAAATGTTAAGCATAAGAGGCTCGGGGAGGTTTACAACACCACCACCGCTCTCTGCCATTTCTGTTTCATAAAGGATTAATATTCCTTCTCATGTATCACATGTAAAGGATACATGTGATCCTACTGAGTTCTTGTTCTGCATCTTATATAGTGAATGTGGTTTAATTTCCCTGCAAATATGGATCCTTGAACCATAAAATATATGATAAATGACCAAAGAATTATACAGCATGTAGCTGAAAGACATATTTAAAAGTTCTTTAGATATCCATAAATAATCAGCTCTAACGTGAAACTGGACCAACGAATCTGCGGTGATTTGACAGCAAAAGTCTGTAGCAGATGTGATCTAAAGGTGTTGAACCCTGACGGCATCAATGTACAGGCTGGCTTGAAACCACACATCACAACACATCGCAATGGTATAATTTTGCTGCGAGGTTCTGTCAGCTACCTTGTTATTAATATGAACATTTCTTCCATGCAAATTTGCTGGCAGCAATCACCACCAGATAATTAGGTTGAGACATCCTGCAGCTCCAAACTACAAGTCGGATCTGGAATGGTGATATCGGCGTTATTCTGGGTGGAACATTCAGAAGAGAGATAAAGAAAAAAAAAACACATCACCTAACAAGCAGTGTGCTTTTCATAGTGTATCCCTGGCAACCTTTAAAAAGCACTTCTGACTGCGCTCTGTTCCCGTGTCATTGGATTCAGTTGGATCGTGATATGAGCCGCAGATTGAGGTCTCTGTGTGGTGGTCCGGGCCCATCAGTGGTCCAACATTCAGCCGCGCTCTATTGTGTCTTCAGCTGTTTCCTCCTGACTCACCTAGCTGTTTGAAAGGTTATCAGAAAATAGACAAATCTAATTGAAACATGGTGTGGTGATGTAAACTGGATACGCAAAAATATTTTTCAAATGATTTTTAGGAAATGGTTGGATCATGAAGTTTATTTAACAATATTTTTTGTCAGCTTTCCTGTTTGCCTGTTTGCAAAATGTCTTTTATTTTCTTCAACAAATTTTGATAGCCTCAAATGCCTCTTACATATTTGAGTGTTTATTAAAACTTATTCCTAACTGGAGAAATTAAATTACATGTTAAATTTCAATTACATGTTAATCACTGCACTGCTTCTGTTCGGCTGACTGCCTGCATGTACATTTATAACCTACTGAATTTAGACATTACAGAAGGGCTTCTAGACAAACTTCCAATCCTGCATTAGACTGAAAACGAATAGTTCAGAAAATAAAGAAAATAAATATCAAAAGGTCGATAGATAGAAAGAAAGGCTGATGGATCTAAAGGTCTCAAGAAGAGACAAGATGCTGATTTCATGAGAACAAGACGTGATGAAATTTTAATTACTTTCTCAAAAAAGTTCAAAGACCAAATTTATGCTTCAAAAAAGCCTTTGCTGTGAATTTTATAAATTCTTCTGACAATTCAATTAAACTGATCTTTTCTTTACTGATTGGTTTTCGTCTCTTCAGACCTTGGAGCGGTTTTCTCATTATGGAGGGTCTGCTGTACCACATTTCCCAGTTACTACTGGTAGAGTGGGCTCTGATTGTTGTGCTGCCTGATGTACCCTTAGACATTCATCCAGTGGTCGTTATAGCGATGCTTTCTGCGTCTTTTTGCATCATGAGTACTTATAAATTTTTTTTTTGTGTCAGTCACTCTGTTAAATTTATAGTTTCAACTTGAAACCCACAATTCTCCCAAACAAATGATTTAAAGGGAGTTGGCGTAGCATTTACCTCAATGAGCAATATCATGATGTTTTAATATCATGAGATTTTGTATAACAAAATCCAGTTTCAGCCCAGAAGAAGTTGGAGTAAAATAGTTTTTGTCAGACTCCAACATATCATAGCGTTGGTCACTTTTGTAGTTTTGGTCATGTCACACACAACATTTTCTGGTTG